CTCAAGGTTTTATAAGGAACATTTTTATTTGTAACACCGAAGTTCTCCCTAGACAATTTTTATCAGGGAAAACACATATATGAGGGTCTGCATGGGCGTCCCGAATTCCTGTAGTTTTTAAATTTTTTATGGACGTTTTCCCTAATCTCTCCAAAATAACGTTTATTCTTTATAATAATCATCAAAATGATTTTACTTTATAAATTTTCTGCAATTATGTGATGTCTTTATTCTATATATTGTTTGTATTTGTAACCCTCTTTGACACGAAACATACATTGTAGCCCATGAATAGTGTAGCCATGTTTGAGGGTTTGGAGGGGGCTTTATATTATAGAGAATGATGGACAAAAGTGTAGAATAGTACGATAACAGGTTATCGTGGGTTCATGTCTGTCCTTTTGTTTTTTTCGTAAGAGAGTTTTGTTAAACATTATGCCGTTAGTTTTCTCATTTGAATTGTTTCATACCTTCCCTGTCGGGTCCTTTGTACGGTATGGGTTTTTTCGTTGTTGAAGGCCTTACGGTTGCCTATATTTGCTAACATGCACTTCATGTGAACTTTGGTAGATAGTTGTCTCATGTACCAATCATACCACATCTCCTTATTTTTGTATAGAGTAAAAAAAGGGGGGGGGGATAATAAGAGAAAAAAGGCAAACATATATAGAACACAGAACAATAGAATATGAATAATAGCTAGTTTGAGAGAATAATGGACAAAATATATTAAGAATACAGAAAAAATTGAAACCCCCCATAAAGACCCTCATGTAGTACTGACATGCGTCCGTTAAGTCTTATTCTAACTCAGCTCCTTATGATACAACCTGTATCATAAATAATAGGAGAAGTGGGATACACGTTTATAAGACAGCAACAAAACAACAATAACCAACGAAAATACATATTAAGATTAAGAGCAGCACTCAGTTTTAAACAATTGACAGAACAAGCTCTACATTTGTCGTGTCTTTAAGGGTAGGCAGCCTGTTGCTACACTTTTCTCCTCTGTTCAGTATTTTGACTTACAAATCTAAAGCCCCGCCTTTGATCCCGATCGTGATATAATTTGCATATATAAGCTTTTGGTTTTTATTGAAAATTAATTTTACTGTATTCTCATCTTAAATTAGCAATTGATAAAGGTTGCTGCCAGTGACCGTTAAGCGAACAAAAATAGTCAGTTAGTCAGTCCATAGTTTATAAATGTAATGCATTCTAATTCAGAATGCCAGATTTGATCAAAGTTAAGGCAGGACAGGAGTTTTGAGTAAGAAAAGGCAGGATGAGCAACTTGGCAAAAAAAAAAAAAAAAAAAAAAGGCAGGATGACATTTTATGTAAAAAAAAAGTCAGGATAAACTAATAAAAAAAAGGCAGGACCGAATAGAGTGAAAAATAAAAAAGCAGGACAGAGATTACAACTAAAAAAAATGCAGGATAAAATTTTTCATCCAAGCCCTCCCCCAACCCCACCCCCTTAAAAATCAAATGGTAGCTCCCTTAATATACAAAAATGAACATACAGCTGTCTTCATACATTAAAACGTGAAAATTTCAAACGATATTGAAAACCAAATTAAGGGATATTTTCGAAACGTTTTGTCCTTGTGATGTAATGAGGTCTTAAAGTCGTCGATAAATCTGGAAAATTGGCTAAGGGCATTGCTTAGACCACACTTATCATTCGGTCTTTATGAAATCATGCACAGAGTTAGCTAAGGGAGCTACCATTTGATTTTTATGGGGGCTAGGATGAAAAATGTTGTCCTGCATTTTTTTTAAGTTGTAATCTCTGTCCTGCCTTTTTATTTTTACTCTATTCGGTCCTGCCTTTTTTTATTAGTTTATCCTGACTTTACCCCCTCCCCCATAAAAATCAAATGGTAGCTCCCTAACATACAGATCCTAATGATATCATGTGGAATTTATTGAACCTTTTTTTCTCCGATATGTACGGAAGACTCAAATCAAGTTTGATTTCACACATGGGTCTGTAATGTGTATAACTACATATACTATTCTAGATTACATTCCGCATACGAGTTCAATGAATATTCATACATGCACGTGATATATATTCTTGCGCAGAAAATAGTTAACAAATTATCATGCGCACATATTCTGGATTAGAAGATGCATTTGCATTCACAGACTGAGATGTATATATGTTTTAGACTCAAATCCAATGTGAGTTGAAATCGAATGACAAACTACCTACAACAAGTGGATTCACATATACATGTACGAATTTAATAAGTTAGTGAAATGAAAACAAACTCTTACTAATCCTGTAAGAAGAAAACATGTCATAGACTATTTAGGAATTTACATCATTTGGTATAGGATAAATATATACCTTATTATGTATAATTAAGTCTAAATTGAAAACAACGTTCAAACCTATGATGGCGTTGGATAAAAACCGCAATTTTTATACGTGTGCATGCAAAACACATTTCTTGGTAGAGGGGTCTAAATACAGCACAAACAACATTTTCCAAAAGATCAAAAAAGTGAAAAAAGTATATTTAAAAAAAACGCATTTGACTAAAAGGTCGAACAACGGATGTTCTTAAACCCTGCTGACTGCCATTGGCGATTGCCAAATAAACGGATCACAAGATGTAACAAAATGGATCTTTATTATTAATTTAATACCAAACAGAAAACAATAAACTTGCGGAAAAGATGGTATTATGTATTTATATATACCTGAACTGCATTCATGAAATTGTGCTATACAATGTGTTAAGTTTTGTATCTACATAGCATTTTACACAATTCCTTCTAAATTAAAACGCATTCAATTCACCAGAAGTCCTAGAGAATCGACATATGGATCATACAAATTTGGTGCCTTCAAACATGTTTAACCCCACCACATTCTATATGTGCCTGTCCGAATTAAGAACCTGTACTTCAGTGGTTGTCGTTGGTTCATATCTGTCATATTTGTTTTCCGTAAATTGTTTTGTTATAAATTAGGCTGTTAGTTTTCTCAATTGAATTGTTTCATATTTTTCATGTCGGGGCCTTTTATAGCCGACCATACGGTATGGGGTTTCCTCATTGTCGAAGGCCGTACGGTTGCCTATAATTGCGTAAATCCACTTCATTTGAACTTTGGTGGATAGTTGTCTCATTGGCAATCATACCACATCTCCTTATTTTTTATAAGAGCATAAGTACAAGGGCTTCATGATCAATCATCATAATGCTATTCTTGGACTTTTTGTGTAACCGTCCATAAATTGTAATAATTTTAATTCTCTAATTTCTAGCCGATTTATCCTTTCCCTGTATTTGTACTGTATTCCTGTCACGTAATGTTGTCATTTTAGCGTTTTTTTTTACATTGCCATATAAGCGGGAGGTTTGGCAAGCCATAAAAACAGGTTCAACCCGCCATTTTTTTCTTAAAATGTCCTGTACCAAGTCAGGAATATGGAAGTTGTTATCAAATAGTCCGTTTCTATGTATGTTGGCGTTTGTTTTTGTAGCAGTTCAGTGTTTATGTTGTTCCGTTGTTTTCCTCTTATAGTTGATGTACACATGTTTTCCTCGGTTTTGGTTTGTGACCCGGATTTGTTTCAGTTAAATCGATTTATGACTATTGAAAAGCGGTATGCTACTATTGCCTTTATTTGTAGACTACTGTCTATTAACACTGCCGTCTCTGGAAATCAGAGGCTAATGATATCATATAATTTAAATGAGTATGTAAACTGCAAATATGTCATCTGAGCGCAGCGAAATTTGCCATATATCAAGCAACTAACCCTGGATATAAAAACTGCAACAAATTACAAGTATGTTATAAAATCCATTAAATCGCTTTCGAGTTATCCGTCCAATTTCTGTATATGTCTTGCATTTTATTAAATGCAAATGGTATTGGTAGCAAACTAATGGTTGATTAAAATCGAATTGTTAAATCATTCGTTCTATCAGCTTAGATATCGTTTTGCAGGAAGGTAGAATATCCCGTCCTATCAGTTGTTTGGTTCTTTTGTAAAGATCATTTTAGTTGGCCTGAGAGACACCCGTTTGAAAAAGTTTATGTACCAGACGTATCAGAAGATAGGTATCGTGTCCTTTATTTTATTGGCGTGAGCAGATGGCAACTGTGATGGACGGGATAATCATTTGAATGATTTTATTGTTGCTTGCTTAACGTCAAATGACATATCATGCATGTTCAGGACAGAATCAAATTACCATTAATAAAATATGTACGTTTTATAAGCTGGGTCAACTGGGAAGAAGGACGGAAAATTTGCACTGCCACTATAAAGTATAGGTAAGTTAGATAGGGACAGATATTTTATCCAGCAATATGTCACTTACGGACCAATCAGATAGTTTCTGCAATGGTTCTTTAACGTACTGAGAGGTCTCTCGCTTCAGGAGGCATCGTATTTAACGTATTCATATCGACCAGAGAGGACTGCGTACTTACACATCCCGCAAACCCAAACGGACGCCCACTTTAGCACGAATTGTAATTTCTGCCGGAACATGAAGTTTCAAGGTAACCATATGGCTATACCACAGTCAAACTTTTAGGCTAATTCCCGTTTAAAGCAAGGGGAACCATCCTACACATACGTACTTCATCTCAACTCTAATTTCAGTCACGAACGCGAAATTGAGTCCTCTAATTTATTGGGTTAAGTTTCATATCATGTGCTTGTAATGGGATTTAATAAGACCTACTACAAATCTAAATGACATTTTCATAATTAAAGTATATTTCTAATTTTTCGGTTATTTTTAACCCAAACATGACTAATTTGAATGAGTTTGATGAGAACTACTTTATCAAGTTAATTATAACGGCATGCATAATATCATTCATCAACTTACCACGCAAAAATTAAGAGATGTTATCAAATTTTGTAACTTTAATGCTTAATCATAATTGCTTATAGTTAATAAGAATATCATATGTTTGAAGTAGATTCAACGTATAAAACCTGTACCTTCCCACAAACACATTTCATTTTAATATCATGTCTTTCACGATGCTATATGGATGTGCTATTTTTCTTTTTACTATTTCACTGAATAAAAACGTGCTTGCGAACTCTTGTGAAAATGACAACTGTAAAGCTGCGATTGACATACCTTTAATCACAAAACTCAACGCGCCATTAAAAGCTGAGTTAGACATTTCGGGTTTAACAACACAACTGAAGGAACTGATAGCACACGAAGTCAAACATGCTGTTTCCGTAGCAATGACTGATCTTGTTGAAGACATTGTGGACAAGAGAGTAAAAGCTGCACAGGAGAGTTTACAGACTGCTTACAATCATACAATATCAACATTTCAACAAAAAACACAACGTAAATTGATTAAATTATAAATTGGCACTTCAGAATAAAATCGTATTGATCTTTCTTAATTTATTCCCTTTTTAGCTCATCTGGCCAAAAAAGGCCAAGTGAGCTTTTCTTATCACTTGGTGTCTGTCGTCCGTCGTCGTCCGTCAACTTTTACCAAAATCTTCTCCTCTGAAACTACTGGGTCAAATTAAACTAAACTTAGCATAAATCATCCTTAGAGTATCTAGTTCAAAAAATGTATCCGATGATACCGCCCATCAACCAAGGTGGCTGCCATGGCTAAAAATAGAACATAGGGTAAAATGCAGTTTTTGGCTTATATCTCTGAAATTTTCAGACGCATCAGACAATCCGTTACTTCCCCTGAATTGGTAATTTTAAGCCATGGCTAAACATAGAACATAGGGGTTTACTAAAGAAGTCTATGGGAAAATTGTAAAAAAACAATTTCAAATTGTCACAACTTGAAAACTAATTTGAATAATGATAAGGGGTCTTCAGTAACTATTGTAAGACTACAATGGGATGATCTGCTTTTAATTTAACTACTGGGCCAAATTAAACCAAACTTGGTCTAAATCAGTATTGGGGTATTTCATACTATTTATTATGATTTTAACCCTATTTTTCATTGATTTCCAAAACCACAGTAGATACAGGTGAAAGACACAGGCTCTATAGAGCCTATAGTTCCATTTAAATTTCGTATTAAAAAGAACGAACTTCCTTAACAACAGCAACATGTTCCTTTTGAATAGAAGTACAGAATTCGGTGTCAGAAAAATAGAACTATATTTTAAAACAACCTTAACAAAGAAGTGCAACAACTTACTAAAACGTTCTTATTGCTATTGAATTTAGAAACAAAATATTGAAAATTAGGGCTAAAATAAACTTGTAAGTTAAATGCTAGTGGCAATATCCAGTCAAAACTTTACAAAGTAAACGAAAACAAGAGACAATCAAAAGCATAATTTTGATAAGACTATAAAACACCTAGGCATCGAATTTAAAACTCCATAAAATCACCATGTCTGTGTATATCTTAGTTTGTAATGTACAAATACAAATCTAATTGTTATACCATTGGTTAATTTAAGATTTCATATTTGTTGTTGTTTTGCTCCTATATCTGTATTTGTATTCGTATTTTAAACTTGAGAAATATTTTTTCTTTTTTCAGTTGCTTTGATGTCATACCTCCCAGGTGGTGATCAACAGATAACAGGGATATTAAAATTTAGTGACGTGAAGTTCAGCGTTGGGATTACCAATTTATCAGCGTATAAATCCACTGGAAAATTTGAATGTGAAATGAGCGGTATCTATTTAGTTTCAGCATCAATAGTCGGCACCACGAAAGGTGTAGACCTGAATATCAATTTAAATGGAAATATAATTTCGTATACTCGCATTAGCGAAGGTAATTGGCAAACTGGAACAGCTGTTCTGGCAGTTCAACTACTAAATAATGACAAATTGTGGGTAGAGGTTGGAAATATGAAACTATCTGGAAATAAATTTGCTGTGTTTTCAATCATTAAAATTTTGTAAAATTCCAGTCCAATCGTCGGAGTTTTCATTTGATAAAGATTTTTATTCACAATATCGTTGGACATATGTAATTGGAAATTAAATCTTTTTCTTTGTCTTACGTAATGTATGACCATTACTTTGTAACATCTAGTGGTCGATACTACAAGCTTGGACGAAGCCGCGCAGTGTATAGGTTACTGATGTACGAAGGAAAACAGAAAACTTCAAGCTCCGAAACTTCATACATTGCAACCTGATGATTAAACGCTGTTCTCTGCAATTTATTTTAACTTAATATTGTAACACCTTAGTGAAAATAACAGAGAACTACAAAAGTATGTGTTTTCCCATAACTTCAGCTACATTCGATGCTACATGCATTTATATATCTGTAAAGTTCGTTTCCAAACATATTGCGTTATAACTTGTCATCCTTAAAAAAAACAAATTATTGTAAACATTATCTTTAGTTATCAATATGTGAATAGTGTGCTAAATGACATCGTTAGGCAGTTTTTTTTTTATTGTAAATATAATTGAGAACGGACATGGGGAATATGTCAAAGAGACAACAGCCGAGTCCACCAATGGGTCTTCAATGCAGCGAGAAAAAATCCGCACCCGGAGGTGGTCCTCAGCTGGCCCCTAATTAAACTTGTGTGCTAGTACAGTGAAAATGGACGTCACACTAAATTCCAAAACGTATAAACGAACTAAAATTAAAAAAACATACAAGACTAACAAAGGCCAGAGGCTCCTGACTTGGGACAGGTGCAAAAAATGCGATGGGGTTAAACATGTTTTGTGAGATCTCAACCCTCCGCCTATACCTCTAGTCAATGTAGAAAAAAGGGTCCGTGTAACACTTATAAATTCAAAATTTCAAAAAGTTTTGAAATGTTAGATTTTTAGAATTTTGATCAAAGTTTTAAAATGTCAAAATACCAAATTTTTAAAAAGTTTTGAAATTTAGAAATTTTCACCAAATAATTAAAATTTTTAAATTCTAAGTATCGTTTTTAAATTTAATTTGATAGTTTAGATATTTGATCAAACTTTAAAAGTACTAAACTTAACGTGAAGTTTTGATTATTTGGCTTTTTGAAAGTTTGATTTTTTTAACTTTTTGATTAACATATCAAAAATAGGAAAGGGGCGAAAAGAGGGGAACCTGTAAACACGGCTCTGATTATGACCATTCTTAGTTAGGAATAAAAAGCACGAAGTATATCAAATCAGTTTTAATTACAAACTAAATAATTAAAAGAATAATTCGGATTTTTATAAATCATATTAGACATCACAGTATCCTGAAATTTTTAATGTTGTGCATCTATTAAACAAATTTTTTAAACCTATTTAAACCGGCATCAACCAAGTTGGTTTACTTTTTTTTAAAATCTCTAATATTTGGTGTCCCCAGCGCCCAATATTTGGGAGTAACAGTGAAAACTGACCAATTTGCAGTAAGCCAATAGTATTATTCGACTTTTTGTGCGTTCCTGATGAAGGTAGATCCAGAAAAAGCGCTTCGGGCGCATGCAATTTTTTAACGTTTTGTTTTCATTTTGTATCGATTGCATGACGATAATATATTGCCTTTTATGATTGATTTCAGTTCCAATAGATATAAGAAGATGTGGTATGAGTGCCAATGAGACAACTCTCCATCCAAGTCACAATTTAGAAAAGTAAACCATTATAGGTCATAGTATGGTCTTCAACATGGAGTCTTGGCTCACACCGAACAGCAAGCTATAAAGGGCCCATAAAAGTACTAGTGTTAAACCATTCAAACGGGAAAAACAATTGTCTAATCTATATAAAAAACGAGAAACGAGAAAAACTTATCTCAAACAATAGTGTAACATCACAACATAGAAATACACAAGTATTGATACAGAAGGAATACTGAATTTATGCTGTCGCAATGAACGTTGTGATAGGCGTGTTTCAGCTACCCCCTAGACAAACATGTGTTCTAGTTCAGTGATAATGGACGTCATACTAAACTCCGAAATATAACAATAAACTTAAATTAAAATCATACAAGACAAAAAAGGCCAGAGGCCAATGAATTGGGACAGGCGCACAAATGGGCGGGGTTAAACATGTTTTGTGAGATCTCAACCCTCCCCTATAACTCTAGCCAATGTAGAAAAAAAAAAAACACAGCAATACGCACAGTAAAACGCACTTTACAAGAAGTCCAAGTCCTACGTCAGAATAGGAAACAAAAGAAACTACTCAAAATGACAATGATATATAAATTAATAAAGGACTACTAGCAGTTACTGACATGCCAGCTCCAGACCTCAATTAAACTAATTGAAAGATTATGTCTTCATCATATGAATATCAAGCACAATCCCTTCCCGTTGTATTTATTGCTAATTTGTTATCGTCCTGAACATGCATGAAATATATGCCGCTGGCAACCAACAATCGATCATTTAAAATAGTTTGTTTACATACAAAATACAAAGAAACTTAGGTTTCAACTGCCTCGGGCAAAGTAGCCCTTAGATGGATTTTGATATGGCCAAACACCTTTTCAATTGTTTCGGTTCTTATATTTACTTGACTTTCAAATATTCAGTTTTCAGCGTTCTGTAGGTGAATGCTTTAAATAAAATTCAGCGTTTTACATTGTCCTGTTTTTTTCGAGAGCAACATTGGTGTATGGCCAAAAATTAAAAGTTCATCATGCAAACAGCGTGGCACTCTCTTTACACGCCCCATTCTGACTGGACAGGTACTGTCTTCTTTTACTTTGCAAAAAGTTGATTGTCGTACGCTAACTTAAAAATGCACAAATAACTAATACGGAACTATCCCTTAATCCAAAAAAAATCCCGTTTCCTTTTATTTGCTATTTTTAAAAAATGGCGGATTGAAGACCCCTAATCGAGCTACGTATATGATAAATGCATATACTTTTTACAAGCATCAGTCCAAACGTTGTCTACAAAATAACCATTTAACTTCAAAAGTGGGGGTATGGTTGATTTGTCGAGGTGAGAATTTTTTTCTGCGCTTAGCGCCAACAATTTTATTAAGTTTTTCAACGTAATTAATCAAATTATTTTGTTCATAAGTTAACACTATATGGCATGGGGAAAATATGGATACAGAATATTTTTTTTTGTTCTCTGCTTGTACAGAATATTTTTTCCCCATCAAATTGGGGATCAGATATTTTTTTTGGAAAAAGACATACCCCCCTTTTAAGTTAACTGATCGTTCCCTGACTAGGCCCCCACCTTTGAAATTCATTGATCCGTACCTGAAAAATGTACCATTATTGTGGGAGGTCAAATATAATGTCACTTTAGTGACAATATTTATATTTCGGATTCCCAAATAGATTACCAGTTATCTCTGATATAAACTTGCCGACACCAACAAATGGATAGATGAGCGCTTAATGTACAGCGGCAACTATTACATAAGTATGCAGGCTGAAAAAAATGTTAATGGTATACGTTTATATGATATGAATTTGTTCAGCTTTCACAAAACCAGAACGATGAGTTTGATGTTAACGTTTACTTTATTTGGCCTTTTTAATTTTATTTGACTGTATTGGCCTTGTTAGCTTAATTTGATTCGAGCGTCACTGATACGTCTTTTGTAGACGAAATGCTCGTCTGGCGCAAATACAAAGTTTACATCCTGGTATCTATCTATGGTGAATTTATGTATATACTTTATAACAGTATCCTAGCTCCAAGCTACTAATATTTGGTCTTACTCTTAAATTCAGCGTAAAAAAGATATCAACAACCACCCACATTCAAGTCTAGCACAACGTTCATTGATTTCATTTTTCCTACTGTACCAATACTTAGAACTAAAATCAATGATACAAGACAATATATGATCGTCATGCAATAGATAAAAAATGAAAACAAAACGTCACAAATTGCATGCGTCCAAATTAAGCGCTTTTCTGGATCTACCTTTATCAGGAACGTTCAAAGCCGAATATTTGAAGGCCAACACTTTATAAAGAACTGATTAAAAGGTTAAGGATGATCGTTTAAAATGTACAAGCAATGATTTCATCTGCCGACATGATTTCAGAAGGTAAGAGGTCGTAGAGCAAACAGAAAAAAATGAAATAAAATTTGAGATAACACGTGTATTGAGCCATTTTATTGCTTAAAGTTCAATAGAAAATATATATACATACTCAACCTAACCATACTACTTGACCTGCTACGAGTTGGTCAGTTTTCACTGTTACTCCTAAATGATGGGCGCTTGGTAAACCACATAGTTCTGAATTATTTATCTGAAACGCTATAAAGCTTATGTTAGAGATTTTCAAAACGTAAATCAACTTGTTTGATGCCGGGTTAAATGGGTTTACATTTTTTTTCAATAGATGCAAAACCTTTAAATTTTCAGGATACTGTTTAGTGTTATCTCATGTGATGTTCAATTTGTTTAAAAAAAAACTTCTTCTTTAGATTATTTATTTTGCACTTAAAAATGATTTGCTATATTTCGTGCTTTCTTTTCTAAGGTAAGAATCATCATAATCAGAGCCGTGCGTCTTGTTTTAAAATGAATTCTCTTCTTTTGAGAAATATTTATTTTGTTATCCAATTTTTAACCGCTTTCAACTATCTGCCTCTGGTTTTATTTTATACATTAACTTTTTAGTAACAGTAACTTTTCACTTCATTTTGTTTCGATTCGTTCCGCTTTTATTTCGTTTCGCAGTTTGCATGTATACTACGTGTTTTATATTCTTAACTAAGAATGATCATAATCAGAGCCGTGTTTACAGGTACCCCTCTTTTCGCCCCTTTTTCTATTTTTGATATCTTAATCAAAAATTGAAAAAATCAAACTTTCAAAAAGCCAAATAATCAAAACTGCACGTTAAGTTTATTACTTTTAAAGTTTGATCAAATATCTAAACTATCAAATTTAAAAACGATATTTAGAATTTAAAAATTTTAATTATTTGGTGAAAATTTAAAAATTTCAAAATTTTTGAATAATTTTGATATTTTAAAACTTTGATAAAAATTAAAAAAATCTAAAATTTGAAAACCTTTAAAAACTTTGAATTGATACGTGTTACACGGACCAAAAAGAAACACATAGCAATACTCACAGTAAAATTCAGTTTAAAAGAAGTCCGAGTCTGATGTCAGAATAGGTAACAAAAGAAACTAAGCAAAATGACAATGATACATAAATGAACAAAGGACTACTAGCAGTTACTGACATGCCAGCTCCAAACCTCAATTAAACTGATCAAAAGATTATGTCTTCATCATATGAAAATCAAATACTATCATCAAATAGTATCATATCATCATAAAATATGTACATGCATTCATACTAGTAATGTATTTATCTGGGTTCATCATTTCAAAGTATTGTATATTCATCAATCGAGAAAAGCGATATTACATTGATTGACAAAAAAGAAACATACCAACTGCGGTGAAAACGTAACTTGAGGCAAGGTATGCAT